TCGCCTTGGCCCCCGCCGTTTTATTTCTTAATTCTCACTCCGCGCCCTCGCGGGGTGAAGCTTTATTTGTTTAACTTCGCCGCGCGCCCCCGCTAATTAGCGTGTTTTCGCTCCGCGACCCAGCCATTTAAACTTGTTAATTTTGACTTTTCGCTTGGCGGGGTCGCGGTACAAAAAACACAAATGGCACAAATCAGCCACTATAGGTAATATATAACAAAATATACATGTGATACTGCATATGAAATAAATATAATTAAACAGTTTGTATCGTGAAGTCAGGCTATATAATATAATTATAATATGTGGTGTCATGTAAACATAGTCTATACAAAAATAACGTTGGGTACTTCCATGTAGCCAGGATTTCAATAAACATGAATTATAAATCACCAATACTATATTACATCATCATATAATTATGTAACTATCTACATTATATTATATACAACCCATTATAAAATCAATATCACTGGTGAGAAAACAAAACAACTGATAACAAATAGTACATAAAATGAAGGCTGAGACCTTAAATGTATAACATATGCTATATGGATAGTTCTTCAGTAAAGGAGCATGCCTGAATGAGCATATACTCTATGAACAGCTCTTCAGTAAAGGAGCATGCCTGAATGAGCATATACTCTATGAACAGTTCTTCAGTAAAGGAGCATGCCTGAATGAGCATATACTCTATGAACAGTTCTTCAGTAAAGGAGCATGCCTGAATGAGCATATACTCTATGAACAGTTCTTCAGTAAAGGAGCATGCCTGAATGAGCATATACTCTATGAACAGTTCTTCAGTAAAGGAGCATGCCTGAATTAGCAGATTACTCTATAAAGCTCTCAGTAAAGGAGCCATGCCTGAATGAGCATATACTCTATGAAAGTTCTTCAGTAAAGGAGCATGCCTGAATGAGCATATACTCTTATGGAACAGTTCATTCAATTAAAGGAGCATGCCTGAATGAGCATAATACTCTATGAACAGTTCCTTCAGTAAGGAAGCATCCTGAATAGCATTATACTCTATGAACAGTTCTTCAGTAAGGAGCATGCCTGAATGAGCATATTACTCTATTGAACAGCTCTTCAGTAAGGACATGCCTGAATGGCATATACTCGATGAACAGTTCTTCAGTAAAGGAGCATGCCTGAATGAGCATATACTCTATGAACAGTTCTTCAGTAATGGAGCATGCCTGAATGAGCATATACTCTATGAACAGTTCTTCAGTAAAGGGGCATGCCTGAAGGATCATACATATATCATATAGAAAAAGTTAAATTCACTGTGTATTTAAAATGAAAATGACACTTCTAGAGTAAGTGAAAGAACTTTTCTACAGTGAAGTGAAATGCATACAATGAAGGTACATGCATGAAATGAAAGAAAATTTCTTATGAAAGGGAACATATCTACATGGAAGTGAAATGCCCAAAGAAAAGGAACATATCTACAGCAAAAAGACATGTCTGAAGTGAAGGTTATTACCTAAATAAAACATGCAAATGTAGTAAAGATAAATAAGCATGTGAGCAGTAAAATAAAAATCAGAAGTGAACATGCACAGCTAATTGTTAAATCAAGTTGTGTATTACAATTTCAATCAACAAATAAATAGTTGTTTAATCTACTTTTAAATTAAAAAATCAAAACAAGTATATAATTTCAGAATTTTGGTAAAAGTGATGTTACTAGGGGGAAAACTATGCTATTTTAAAACAAAATAAACATTCAAGCACAAATAAATACAAAACAAAGAGTGGAATGATAGATTGCAGAAAGAATGTATATGTAAATAACTCCGATTGAAACAAAAGCATATCTAATATGTACTTTTATGTAGGTTTTTAAATGAACAAAAACAATGAAATTCCACTACGAGGCTATTTCATTATGTAAAATTGTTATAATGCAAGTTGGATAGCTTCCTTACATGAAAGAATCCAAGGTCACTTGTGGGAATTCCAACCCACAGTGGTGAGGGGCGAGTGGTTCTAAGTCAACGACCGGAACAGCTCTATTGTGGATGCCCATACATGTTGTTGTTTGCACGGTTACAGGTATAATTTTAAATAAATACAAATATACCTATATACCTTGTTCTTATGTGAAGTTTGTTCAAGTCTTTGGTCACAACTACCTTTAGAAAGTTTTGTTAATTTCTTACATATAATCAGAAAATAACACAAGTGAGATTCTATACAATATGAAAGTATGATGACAAAAAATAAAATCAAAATAAATTAATAAAAAAATAAACATAGTATCATAGCATTGCACACGTGACCTTCACAATATCATCATCATCAAATCATCATCAAGTTTATTTGTATGATAACTATTGTGTTGCGTAAAAAACATCAAAACAATACATAAAATCAAAGGCATCTATATATGTTCACTACCTATATGAATATAAATGGGTGATTTACAAATAAATAAGACATTGATTTCCTGAAATTGTGAGACAGAAATAGATTGGAAATGAAGTTTCTTATTCTGATAAATTCTAAACTTTGTGATATCTACAGTAGGCTAATTCCCACCGTAAATGTTTCAACCTTTAACCTATTTGTATAATGGACTTGCCCAACAGTTCAATTCAATTTTAGGGATTTCGTTACCCAATTGGAAACATTATAGCTGCCAGCAGTATAAAGCCTGGTCAGACGGTAGGGTTATGCTGACTAGCCTGGCTCTATACTGGTAGCAAATTACTCTCGGTTAATAATTATAATTTTTCAAATGTTGATGAAATACGATGTTGTAAGCAACAAATAATATTTTTACACACTATAAATGTTACACCAGTACCAAGGTGAAAAGGAAAATACCACTGTTAATTGAACAGCCATGCTAAAATATAAATCAGGGGTACTTTGATAATATTGTCCTAACTATAGTAACAAAAGTGTGCCATATTGAATCCCCAAAATTTTTACATACTAATTTTACTAATATAATGACTATTGTCTTTTACTACATGTAATCCCTATATTACATCGCTCTAATTGGCAGTTAATTAAAATGAGTAAAATAGACATCATAGCTATATATATATAATTAATTACAGTCCTTAAATTGCATGGTTCAATCACAGTCATACATACTATCAATAATCATGAAAATTCCATTCCAGTAAACATAACAGACTAAAATTTTTGGTATATTTTACTTAAATGATTTTTTAGTAAAATGCGTTTTTTTTTATTTGTTGACTTTTGTTCAGTCTGTTTGGTATGGCTCGATCAAATGGTTTTTGTCAGTAGAAAACAAACAAAATTATTTTAGGCCCAAGGATGAAAATTTTACGACGAAAAAATTATAATCTGGGTAGCACTGAACATGCAGTTATGTGTCATTAAGGTAACAAAATTTCAACAAAGAAGTGTTTTGACTTCAATACAATATTCTTAATTACCATAATTATACAGATTTCCAAAGAGAAAAGGAGCAAAAGACAGTTTATCTATATGGTCAATGAGTAACTATTTAGAAACTGTAAAAAGATAATTGAAAAAACAAACAAACAAAAAAACACACAAGTCTGAGGGTTAATGGGCCTTTAAAATATAGAACATTTGTTAATTGGCATGTAATAAGATGGAGAAAGTATATAAAACATAATGTAGAGCCAGTACAATAAGGGACATTTAAAATAATAAACTGGAATGCTATCAATGATTAAAATATAAACACAAAATACAAGAACACATTTGTTATTTAATTAGTTATAAAATTGTAGAATATTTTATAATTATGCCCATTGATTGTTTTCAGACAAGAGTTCCTGCACCTGAATTCAAAAATAACAAAGGTGATTCGTAAATTTTGATGAATACACACATTCATATTCAAAAAAAGAGACAAACATGCATTACCATGTATGAAGAAATTAACTACATATAATATAATGGACCCTTATGATACAAATACATAAGAAATAACCCTCATTGAATTAAATGGAAATTCACATTTGCATTAAATTTTACATAATTCTTACAATACTTATCATAAACTAAAAAATTGTTGGTAATAACAAAATATTATAGAGTACATACTTCATAAAAATCTCAATACCAGTCAGTATAAACAGAAGTTCAAAGTCACTGAAAAACAATGTTTAAAACATTATGCCTCTAGATTTATTTCAATTTTCTTTATGATTTATATTAATTTTTATGGTTTATTCTAATTTTTCATAAAATATTCTAACTCTTTTATGATTTATTCTAATTTTTACATGATTTTTTCTAATTATCATATGATTTATTCTATTTTATATAATTTATTCTATTTTTTTTTTTTTTTTTTTTTTGAAAAATTTAGAAAGGAAATCTAAATTTTGAACAATATTCATAGTAAACAAATTAAAGTGATTTTGACGCATATTTGTCTAATACATATCCCTTTGCCCTAATTAAACGGCCAACCACCCCTACTCATTTTCGACAAAGAAAACTGAGGTACCAAGTCTAGCAGTTTATTTCAAATCAGAGAATATTATCACAAATCAACACAGTTGGTGTTTCTCGTATAAATTATCCAGAGGAAAATACCCTCCCCTCCCCAACCCCCCTTGGAAAAGATACTGCTACAAGGCTTATATAAGAATTTAATTAATAAAGCCTTAGGCACTTAAAATTCACAAAAAGAAGAAGACAAAAATGTGTCTAAAAGAAACAAAAATAGCAGTTAATAGGTCCAAAAAAAAGTTAAATAGTAAAATTCAGTTAATTGTTACGAGATTGTAACAAGGTTGAAAAAATAGTAATTAAACAGTTATCATTATCAGAAGTCCTATCTGACATCTTACATAAACAACATTCCTATTAACCAAGCAATCAGTGCGATGATACCAGATATGAGGCTGATATTTTGGTCTGGCATGCCATAGAATAGTTGCCCCCCACCCCAGCAGACTTCAAGATAATTTGTGAATATTTGCAATCTTTCTCAAAAATTTTTATTTGATTTTTATTTTTGTAACCAATCTTGAGCTTTCCAAGTTTAGAAATTTTTTAACAAGATCCGAATTTCAATTCTTGAAATATGCCAAAAACTTGTTTCTGATTTTAACTAAGATAATGTAAAACAGATTGGGGGTTTATTTAGATGGGTTTTTAAGTGGCACCAACACTGTAAATGTCATATGGCAACTCTACAGCTAAACTTCAGGAAGAAGACGTCAGGTGTCACTCTGCGCTGCGTTATTTCAGGCAAGAATGCGCACCCGAGTAGAAACATCCAAGTTCCGTATGTACAATAGTTACGTTGCAAACAGAAACTGCCTAATTTTTAACCAAAAATAGAACTTTAATAATTAAAGGTGGGTTTTGTAGAGAGTAGTGGTATGATTTTCAACTGTGACAAGTTTATAAAAATTAAAACATTTATCAACATTAAACGTCCCTCCATCATATATACATAAACATAAAAATAAATATACATTAACATAAAAATAATCACCATCTACATGGTTCTATGAGCATTATATGTTTAGCCAATATGACTGATTTAAATTACATTATAACATTATTTTTTACAATAGAATAACTTGACATAGTAATATATATTAAAGGGACTCCACTGAGATTTTTTTTACAAGACGGCACTTGATGCATTTTTCTGAGATTTGTATGTCATTTCATATAGGTCTGGATCATTAACTTGTGTGCAAATTTTCCAGGCCATCCCTCATCCAATTTTTCAACAATAATCGTTTTTATTGTGCAAAATGACCCAAAATTGAAAAGTGTTGCAACGCTTTCCATTCAAATAAGCCTTAGAATCACCCAAAAAATTGCCGTGCAATTTAATTAGGACAAAATTTCTTTATTATCCTTTACAGATTTTTCCATTTTATGTGCTTCACTTGATCTACTTAATAAAATTTCATAATCTTAGGCTTTTTGACCTCAGTGGAGTTCCTTTAATGTGCATGTATTACATCATGTCTTTAAATAGAATAGTTTTTCAACTATATTTAGAGAAAAAAGTGCAAAATGGTAATAACTACAGCATTGACCTTTTTGCACTCTTTGCACTAACTTATTGATAAAATACAATGTAATAATTTGTTAAAACTTTCTTAACTGATGATTTAACATGGTATAAATATATGTGAACCAAATCCGTAAATATTTTTTAAATTTGCAATGTTTCCGTAAAGTAAATTATCAATATTTTTAACAAATAGAAATGGACTGGAAATTATCCTATGTCATCTAGTGACAGTAGCATCAGGTTGAAAGTTGTCTAGCATTATACTTGTAGGGTCCGCATCACCACAAGCTGTCGGTGCGTAAGTCACCTGACCTACAGGTGGCCAATCAGCAAGTACCAATTCACGCTCTACTCTCTTGTATGCAGACTGACTTTTCTTTGGTCGTAAACAATGGACACAACGTTTTATACAGGATTTCATTGTTTTGTTGTCAGTTACAAGGTACTGTAGAAAGAGAAATATATGGTGAATATTAAAGTAATAATCAAAACAAAGTTAAGCTTTTGAAAAATAAGTGGTCTGAAGCAAAATTTAAACTCAACCTATATATTTTAATGTGTAATCTGTGTACCAGTTTACAATTAATTGCCTCACTTCCAGAAACCATTTTTCTATTTTTAGTAGCTGTTACCTTGACTCCACGGGGTCCAAAAGTAATCCAAACTGGTGTCTTCATTGAAGCTTGCTATATACTAAGTTTGATTACAATGTCTCATTCTTTGCTCTAGTTATTGTCCAGAAACCATTTTTTCATTTCTAGTAACATTGACCTTGAACCCTGGGGGATCAAGGGCAATCCCAACCAAGATTTCCACATAAGGTTGCTGCATACCAAGTTTGATCATAATAACTCATTGTAAACTCTAGTTATCATCTGGAAACCATGAATTGGACCCACTGACCAACAAACAAGCTAAATTCTATATACCCCGCTAAACTTTGTTGTGGGGTTATACATGTTATCAGAACTACCTAGGATAACATATAAATAACTTTCTATAATAACAAAAGAACACCATAAAGTGATGTACCAAACAAGGACACATAAAGAGCACACTACTGTGATATAGTCTACTCACCTCTATAATTACTGCAACTATAAAATGAGCTGCCACTATTGTAAGGAGAAGAGCTCTAAACATCACAGGTTTCTGGTCTAGTCTCATCAGCTGCAAATAACAACACACATCTTATAATTATATTAACCCACTGAAATTAGGTAGTGGATCTGACCTGCTGCTTGGAATTTCGAATAGTCCATTCAATGTTTCAGGGACGTCAACTTGTGTGGTGAAGGCTCTGAGGTGCACCTCTGTGCTAAATTTATGACACAACTTAGCACCTGGGTAGAGTCAGTTCACTAACCCTTCTAAAGCTAGCTTCCTTACATGAGATTCAAGTAGTGTATAGCTTCCACACATCGAAAATTCAAGTAGTGAATAGCTTCCACGCAAATTTCTGAAGTAAGTGGATGGTTTCCTAATATAAAAGAATTCAAGTAGTGGATGACTTCTTCACATGATAAAAATTCCCAGTCCTTGGCAATACTTGAACCAACAGTGGTTAGAGAAAAGTAATTAAAATGAATTGACCTTGACCACTTGGCCTTATAGGCCTCATTTACCATTCTTTACAAACACATGACTATAAATGAAATGTATTTAGTCTTTTATGGGTTTCAAATTAAACTCATATGATTACAACAGTATTAAAACTGAAACCACTGTTTTTTATGCAAAAAAAAAAGAAAAAAGGTATATTTCAAGAAATAAAGAATAATTTTGAATCAACTTACAGTAAAAAACTCCATTAAAGGTTTCCATGGCAACAGTACTAAGCCAGCAGAAAACGCAGTTAACAACAATAGACTAGCCAGGTATGGAACTGAAAATATAGACAAGAAGTGCTAAAATCTTATCTCAGAATTGAAAATAAACACTACAAATGGTTCTGATAAAACTGTTTTAAACTGGTATACATGTATATACAAATTGACAACTAATTGACAATAAATAAATTTAAAATTACTTTCTCTAAAAAAATTATGCTTGATGTACTATAAATTCATTATAAATATTTCCGACTGGTTATATGGCAATATATAAACAGTTCTTTGCAATATAACCCTCATGTAGTGGCCCAGGTTATATTTTCTAAAAATCGTTTACATAGGGCCATATTACCAGTCAAAAAAACAAGAGGGCCAAAATGGCCCTAGATCGCTCGCCTGACCCATGGAACTCATCCGAGCAATTACTTAGACAAGCATCCTGACCAAGTTTGATGAGCTAAAAAATTGTAACTAATAATAATTATATACATGTATATTAAAACATTATTTACCATTGGTGTATATACGTTTCCTGAAAGGTGGTCCCTTGGAGAAGACGAACGCTACAACAATGTATTGAAATGATGATGATATAAATATCACTGTACTCTCCCATGATACCTTCATTTCTCCACCTTCTGGTTCTACAACCTCATACCTTTTTAACAAAATACACAAGTAAATCAAAGGAAGGAGAGAATACACATCAAACATCAGGATGGTTTATAACTGGTTTATTCTAGGATCTACCGGTTTCGGTCTTTCAAGACCTTCATCAGGATACATTTCAAAGAAAAATGATTACTGAAGTACTAAAAATGTGTAAACCGAATAATGACGTATGTTACTATAAATAGACATATAAATGAGTTTATCTGGGCTAAGTGCCAAGTTTTTCTGGGCAAAGTGCCAAGTTATTTTTCCTTATAAAATGTTTCAAGTGTTGGATAACCACAGATCATATCTATGTCAATGACCATTTTACAGCATGGTTTAAGTTTTAACAAAATAAAAGAGGATATATGTTTGTTTTGCATGTAAGATTGAAATATATTTCACTGAGTGAACACCAGGTGCAATATTTTCATGAGTGAAGTAGCCACTAGTGAATATAGAATAGCTGGTGTTCATGGGAAAGCATGAAAGCATGAAATGAAAAATTGTCTTTACTTTTATAATGCTTTGTGTTATCAGATCATATATACTCGTACATAAGACAGAACTCTTTATAAGTCAGGGTCTCAAATTTATGTAAAAATGTATGGTACTTAGATAAGTATTCTTTAAAAGGATGGGTTAGACTTGCAATAAAATATAAAGCTTAATTCTCAAAAGGTATAATGATTTATTTATAAAAATTGACGAGTCAAAGATTATGTATATATAGAGAAAATATACTTTTTTTTCAATAGTTTTGTGAAATAATTCTTTTAAAATCAGGGTGACTTATTGAAATGTTTAAATAGTAATATTTTACAAATACAAATTGCAAATGAATAGCTTAGAAGCATAAATTGCTTTTGATTTTCTATAAATATTATAACATATTGTGATTTAAATCAAATCAACAACATAGATGTACAGTAAAAACCCGCTTTACGACCACCCCGTTTTCGAGACCAACCCGCTAATACGAACGATTTTTCAAAGACCCGATTTGTTTATTCTTTATGTTAATGGTCGCTAACCCCGATTTTGAGACCACCCTGTTATTCCGTAATACGACCAGTAAATTCAGTCCCATTTCGTAAATTCTGTACATTTGGAAACCCCTAAATACGACCGCGGGCACTTTCTCACCTTGATATTGACATGCATGTATATTGCTGAAAACTTTTTGACATGTAGTGTAAACAACAGTTGTCCTAGTTTTACGACATTTAACGACATCCAATTTACGGCAGAGGTCAAGGTTACTTTGTATCAAACCCGGAAATGATCAATAATATTTTCGATAATTTCTTAATTTCACACCTTTAATGTCATAACTGGAGGATTAAAGCAACAAAATATCGAAGAGAAAACTTTCAATAAGTTTTTTAGAGGTGTTGCTGCTATCATAATCTCTTTCATTCCATAATTTTAAACAAACATAAACATGATACGATTAGTATTTTGAAGTTGTTATCGGCAATGAAAACTGTGAAAATAATTACAATGTAAAGGTTAATTGGTCGATGTGCTTTGTAGTAAAATGGTGATTTAATTGAGTAAGTCATGTCATTCTTTTAAGTTTAAACAATGAAAATGAAAAGTAATAGTGTATGCTTAATATCTTCTCATTTGAAGTAGGTTAGCCCAGAATTAAACATGTGTACAGTAAATGGTATCCCTTAATATATTGCCTGGTTTTCTGTTTGACGAAACTCATTAATGAGACCAACCCGCTATTAAGACCAGATTTGTAAAGTCCCTTCATTGGTCTCATTAGCGAGTTTTTACTGTATGTACATGGCCACTTTTTTTTAAGAATCAAGTTACACAAACTATAAAATATATTTTTGAAGTAAAATTGGAATCTGGTTAAAACTGACAAATCATCTCAAACAAAAAATCCCCCAGCTTGTTTCTAAGAATCAAATTATCTTCATACAGAAACCCCAACCACTTTTCTTTAAAGTCCCATTTTATCTTCCATAATTAAAACAAAAAGCTTCTGCAGAGATAAATTTAACACTTTAAACACTTTATCATTTTCTTTGTTTTTTGTTTGTTTCATTTTTACGCCTTTTCCCAACAATATTTCAGTCATATAGGTGTCATTTTCTTTATTCAAAGCCAGCAAATTTAGGAATGAAAGAAAGAAAATTTTCTTTGTTTTTACAGTGCCAGTATATTTTATGTAATATATTTACCATGATTGACTTCTCAGGTACAACAGTGCTGTAGTCTGGAAGAATGCTGCACAGAACACTTGTAGAAGTATAGATAATAAATTAGATGGTTTCACAAGTGACCCCTCCGGTCTCTGAACTGATAATCGTTCATATGACTGCGTATATCCCACTGTAATACAGAAAACAAATGTTACTCTATGACATTCAATATGGTATAATTCACATGTAAAGCAAGTAGATGTTATTCAGAACTCGGCAAAATGTGGGTTTTTCCAAGCTAATCCCTTGATACAACAAACTTTTAGCATTACAGCTTCACAGAGCACTACCTTCACAAAAGATAAGTCAATGGACCTTTCCAGTGTTTACAGTTTTATGTAAATTAGCTAACTTGTTAACTTGTTATCCAATTGCTACACTGAGATAATACATAGTCACTGGTTGACCTGGTTTGCACAAAAGAACACATGCTTATGTTTGTGATACTTTTTGTGAGCAGTTGAACTATAGCAATGAACATATTCTTTATTCCAAAGTAAGTATGAGGTGTGTAAAAAAAGTGGAAAAGTCAAAATTATTTAAAACAAAGGACATTCTTTACATTTCGTATTAATATTAATTCCATATTACAGCAGACTTAACATTTAATAAAATGTATATAAATATATACATTACTTATTCCAGGATTCAATTTAAGGAGATGACTTACTTACAATAATTACCATGGAACTGAAAATATTTTTTAAATTAATGTTTAAAATCACAAACATGGGATTGTTCTCTCAGATTTGTTTTTGACCAGGCGAGTTATTCATTGTTCATGTGAAGTAAATTATAAAATTGGAAGGAATTAAAACGGCAAAATGTTAACTTATTTTGACTTTCACCTGTTCACTTACTACATGTATAATACCATTGGATGGGCGTCATGTCACTTTTAAGAATATTTCCAATTCCTTTCATTATCTTTTTCTTTTTCAAAAGAATATAGCTTATCTATTTTTATTACGTAATTTTCATCACTCATCAATAATCATGCAAAATTTCGACATAATGATATAATTCCTCTGACACTATTAACAACAATGTTCAGATACTTACTAAGTACAGCAATGGTTGTGGTAATTACAAGATCTATATACAACAACAATGTTCAGATACTTACTAAGTACAGCAATGGTTGTGGTAATTACAAGATCTATATACAGGAACAATGTTCAGATACTTACTAAGTACAGCAATGGTTGTGGTAATTACAAGATCTATATACAGGAACAATGTTAAGATACTTACTAAGGACAGCAATGGTTGTGGTAATTACAAGATCTATATACAGGAACAATGTTCAGATACTTACTAAGGACTGCAATGGTTAGTGGTAA